GCTCTTGCTCAGGCTGGTTTCGAACTCCTGAGCTCAAACAATCCACCCGCCTCGGCCTCCCAGAGAGCTAGGATTACAGGTGTGAGCCACCGCGCCTGGCCAAGAGAATGCTTTTTAATAGAAGAGAAAGGACTGGAGGAATGGAAAGTAGGACCTCACCGAATCTTTCTAGCGATGAAATAAGCAGCCAGCAGAAGGCAGAGGCAGCCAACCAAGATTCCTACGCCTAGACTCAGCATTTCACCTGGGGGGGATAAAGACGGGAGGCATCAGTTTAGGACTAACAGATACTAAGCCTTTCCCCCACTTGCTGAGAGCATTCCTAGTGCCTGGGTAGGGCTGTCTTACCTGTGGTATACAGGGATCCCACTGTAAGGGAAGAGAATTTGAGTCAGTGGGACTTTCCCATCCCAGCTCGGGGCAACACTGCTTCTATGTCTGGGAAGATCACCTGCGAGTGGGGGGTGGTTCCCAGTCTAACCTAGTCCTGAAAACCCCTTCCCCTCTTAGCCTTTTCCTTCCCAGGGGCTCCCTAGTTCCTGCCACTGAGTCCCTCAGTTTCCCGTCTCCTCTTCTGAGACCTGCACAGTCACCTTGGATGAAAGAAGCAAAGACCGTGCGCTGATTGAGAGGCTGAGGGGCTCGGTAGTTCTGTACCAGGAGCTTGGAGGGTTCTTCTTCTGTGGAGAACAATGTCTCCTGGAGCTTTTCCAGCTGAGGAGTAGAAGAGTGGGAGAAGTGCCACTTTGGGGAGTGGGGAGGGGTCTGAAGTTACAACTGTGTCTCTTACCTCACTTCTCCACGACTTACCTGCCCCATTGAAATCTGGGCCCTTCGACTGAAGACTGTCCAGAGCACACTTTGGTAGCAGGGAGGAGTTGTGAGTGAGCCGTTGTAACGGAAGAACTGCCCAAGCTCTGTGGGGAGCAGCTCCCTCACGTTGAAGGGAGGCACTGAGGTCTTCTGATCTGGGAAGAACAGACTAGGACTCATCTTCCTTGACTGCGCCCTAGCTTACATAGACATGGCTCCCAGAAGCTAAACTCCCTGGCCTTAACTTAGTGAGTGCCTCATCCCAAGGCTTCTTAGGTCAGTTTTTGAAAGTTTCTCTGAAGTCTAGTGTCACCTGCTCCTGCTATAGGTTTTTAGGCTCACCTTTATGCCTGATTTCATGCAAGTGACTCAGAATGTGTTCGTAAGCTATATTCTTAGTCTCACCCACCTGCAAGGAGAGGAAAGGGAGAGAGTTTGGAATGAGTCCATTTTTGGAATAAAACATTTCATGTACAGAATAAATTGTCCGGGTGCATTGCTGCCTGCCTTGGGAGGGAGGCCAGCAGCAGAGTAAGTCTGATAGAGAAGAAGTGGAAAAGGATCTAGACGACATTGGGGACCACCGACCTCAATTAGGATGCCCAGGACAGCCAGGCCCTGAGGCCTCTGAGCAGCCTCACTCAAGCTGTCATAGGAATCAGAGTCATAATGTACGATGTGGAGCTGAGGGAAAGGAGAGGAAATTGGATTATTTATGTTTCCCCTGCCCCTTCGGGGCCTTGATCCTTGAAGCTGCCACCACCACCACCCTCAGCATGCACTAAGGATAAGGTTGGGCTTTATCCCCGCAGTATGACTTTTCCCAGTGTCCAGATCCTTCCTTTCCCCAGGACTGGCCATCCCTGTCACTGTGTCCTAGTCCAAACTCTGTTCCCTGGTACCTCGGCAGCTGTGGCTTCACTGTTGATCTGGTGTTCTGACCCCCCAGGGGATCCTTTCTGACCCCAGTGCAGGTGGAGCTGGGCAGCTACATATTTTCGGGGAAGTCCGCCCAGATACAGGCTAGGGGGCAGAGAGAGTTGCACTGTGAGGAAAAAAGCAAGCTAGGGTTGGTGGAGGAATGTGGGCACATTCCCACCCCTGGTTTGTCACCACTTCCTGGGAGAGTAGGCCTTCCTCTTCTAATTTCCTCCCCGAGTAGCACCCAGTTCCTCCCATAGGCCAGTGCGTTTCTGGCATATCTCCCCTTTTCTCAGTGAAGATCAAGTCAGTGGTATGATAGTAACCTACCAATTGAGCTTGATCATAGACATTTCAATTCCCACTTTGGTTACAGGAGTCTGATCTCCATTCTCATATCTCCAAATTCATGGACGAAGCTTTCTGATTATTCACAAGTTATGAGACTACTTCTTTCCCCTGACTCCTAAGATTTGAACTGGAGCCTACAACTCCTTTTACCTGTATGACCATTATTGTGCAGATCCAAAGGCTCCATGCCAGGTTGGTCATATCCATGGGGCTGGAGAGCAGGCAACTCAGGGTCAAATGTCACACTGTCTGTCTGGATGTCAATGGGGGACTGGGCATTGCTCCCACACTCAGGGTAAGAGGCTGGCCAATGGTCCTGACCATGTGGTCCTGGTGGGGGTTACCAAGGACATTGGTCCTGCCCTCCTGCTCCAGCCACCCTTCAAACCCTGCCCCCCAAACCAAGTTATGCATCTGTGTGGAGGTATAAATGCATTTCCCTCCACCCAGCTTAAGACCCCAGTTGTGCAGGGCCAGGTGAGGTAGGAGTCCCTGCTGGACTTCATGCTGCAGTTCCTCTCACCTACCCAGAGGCGGTGACGATTCCCCAACTATTCTGATAAATGGGGAGTGGCGGCTCTTTTACTTACCTCTAATTTGAGAACAAGAAAGCTAAATGAAGGGAAGAGGGGATGGATAGAAGCCTGAATACCCAGAGAGGTGGGATTAGGGAGTAGGAGTAGAAAAATGAGGGGAAATAAAATAATCCTAGAGAGAGGGGTCTCCTTGGGGCCCCCTACCAAGTGGCCTTGGGATTCAGATATCCTGACTGTCCGTCATTCATTTCTGGTTCTCACACAATCTTTAGACCTTGGCCTTGCATGGACCCTGGAGTTCAGTTAAGTCATTAATCAACAGTTCATAGGAATTGAGTTCCACCTCCCCCAGGGACACAAACTATCCTGCCAGCCTCTTGCTCACCCCTGACTTCCAGCTCTGTCCCAATTCCAGATGCAGGTTGTGCGTAGGATAAAAAGAGCCAGAAGGAGATCAGGCAGCTAAGCTCCGAGTTCTTTTCCCCACCCGGTTTCCATTCTACTCTGGCTCCCTCACTCCTACATGGATTTACTCAGGACCTAGGAGCCATGTATGTGAAACCCAGGGCATGAGGAGACCCAGAAGAGAGGAGCTAGGGTGAAAAGCTAAAGAAAACCTCCTCTCCGCCCGCACGACATGTGGGTGAGGAGGCCCACCAGTGTGAAAGGGGTGTCAGTAGGCCTCAAGTTCTGCTCTCACCCTCGTATGTCCAGTGTTGACCTGCAAGGCAGAACAGTTTGGGTTACAGCCAGCACAGCCTGGGGCAGTGCCCTGGCCTAAACTCTCTCTTCCCTTGGAACTCTAGCTCCACCTTCCTCTCTGCTCTCCCTCCTCCCTCTACTCAGGCACTTCCCAAAGGAAGCCCTGAAACTGGACACCTCCGTGGAAAGGTGGTGGGGGGGTGCTGTCTAAAATCACTAGCCGGGCTGTGCTTGTGCTTGCTAAAGGACAAAGGGGAGGAGGCATGGAAAGAGAGAAAGCTGGGAGACTAAAATTAACCTGGATCCAAATGTGCCGTTGGCCCAGCCTTTACTTTTCTCTAACCTGTGCCAAGTCAATCTAACACTTAGAAGATTGGAGTGGGGTGGGGCGAGGGTGTGGGCAAAGGGTTTGGAGGAAAGGGACTAGAAAGAGGCAAGGGGAAAGAAGTTCGGTGAGTGTGTGTCTGTGCATGCGCACACACCAGCGCAGGGGTACTGCTGAGGGGAGAAAGGGCATTACTCCTTTGCTTTGAAGCATTGTGTGAATCAAGCCACTGAGTTGCAAATTAACATTTAAGTTCTTCCTTTCTGGTCCTCTTAGCTCTAGAGGAAGCTTCCCCTGTCACCAGGAGCCTCTGCTCCCTACCTTCCCGGATGGCTAGGGAAGAGGAGAGTCAGGACAGGGTCTACTCTAGATTGAGAGTGGTGGGTGGGCACAGGCAGCCAGGCTGGCAGGGACGGGATGAAAGTGAAGTATTGTGTGTGAAAAAGGGAGCTGCCAGCTGGGTCACGTGCCAGGCTCTCATGCAGTCCTGTCTCTGGCTGAAAGGCTGGGGGTCTGCCGGTCCAGCCCCTATCCAGGGCCAAACGGCCTCCAGAAGAAAAGGGAGGCCTTGTGGGTTTTCGCTGCAATATTCAAATTGCTAGAAACTCTGGAGAAAAATCCTAAATTTTTCCTCACTGTCTCTTATTCCTTTAAGTTCCTTGGCCTTGTAAAATATCCTGGATCTATTCTGCTGGCCCACTCCTTGGTTTAGACAAGTCTGAAAAGCAGCATAAGGGAGGGCTGGAGGCAGCCTCTGGTTTACTAGCTCTGTGGGACACCCCAACAACTGGAGTTCCCTGGTTCTGTGAAGGCACCCTTTCCCTCCCATCAAATCCTCAGCACACTGATTCTACATCTTTTACCTATTTTTTTGTTTCCTCAGACGAGATTTGTGACTCTCCATTTGGCTCCCACTTCCCACCCCCCTAACCTCCCACATCATCCTCTCTGCCTTCCCTTTCTGCTCTCTGGACACCCCCCTCACCTGTTCTTCCAACAGACCTCAATTATACACCTATTATGTGCTGGCTACTGTGCTAGGCACGGGAAACACAAAAATGAGGTGTAGGGACCCTGGGGACACTCCTGAAACACCTCAGCCTGTTCTCCCAAGAATCCTTTCTCATCTCCTGGGAGCTCCTGAAAGTCCTTTGTAAACTATAAAGTATAGGCCAGGCGCAGTGGCTCACATCTGTAATCCCAGCACTCTGGGAGGTAGAGGCCAAGGCCGGCAGATCATTTGAGCTCAGGAGTTCGAGACCAGCCTGAGCAAGAGCAAGACTCCGTCTCTACTAAAAATAGAAAGAAATTAGCCAAACAACTAAAGATATATAGAAAAAGTTAGCTGGGCATGGTGGCACATGCCCTGTAGTCCCAGCTACTTGGGAGGCTGAGGCAGGAGGATTGCTTGAGCCCAGGAGTTTGAGGTTGCTGTGAGCTAGGCTGACGCCACGGCACTCTAGCCAGGGCAACAGAGTGAGACTCCGTCTCAAAAAAAAAAACCAAAAAACTATAAAGTACCAAACAAATATTGACATGATTGCTACTGCTTTTAGCGGAAAACTGAGAAGTTAGTTTAGGATCAAGAGGGGCCCTTGGTCACGAGGGGATCCATTGGAGATCAGGGTCTAAGTTGGGCAGGAGGTGTTAGGGGGTATGCTCCCCCCACCCCAAGGAGCTTTCTAGCCTTTCACTCCAGGCCTCTTTGACTTCCTAACTGGAGCAGTTCATAAATAAAGCAAGCCAGGAGGGCTGCATGGGACCAGGGCAGTGGGGGAAAGAGCTCACAGGGCAGTGGGGGAAAGAGCTCACAGGGCAGTAGGGGAAAGAGCTTTGGAGAAAATCCGTAGCCTGCAAAGAGATTCTAGCACTTGTGTGTGTACATACCCTGCCCGGGACTAGTTCTCCCCCATCCCCAATAACAGCAAGACTGGGAAGGCAAAGAGAAAAGCGGGAGAGTGGTCTCCGCACTCTCTTTTTGAGCCTATTATTCCAGCCCCTAGGCTTCCTTTTACACCTTTCCTCCCCCCATTAAGCACACAGAGCGACATGTGGACATCAGCACAGATCCACACAGAGACATCCAGTGTACCTACCCCCATCTGCAGCCAGGATCCAAATCACCTCTAGCAGGAAGGCGAAGAACAACATGGTATCCCAGAAGGGGCACAGGGGACTGGGAGTTTAGGGACTAGAGGACTAGGGCGGGCAGAGAGGGGAGAGAGAGAGAGAGAGAGAGAGAGAGAGAGAGAGAGAGAGAGAGAGACAGACGGAGGGAGAGAGAGAGGAGAGTTTCTGGCGTTGAGTGTATTTATCTCTTTTTCTCTTGCTGTCTCTATCTCTGTGGACTTCCAGGGGATTTGGTTTTTAGTAGGGTGCTGTGGATTTCTAGGTCCCCAGGACAAATCTGCTGCCTCTCCCTCTCTCTGCCCTCTCTCTTTATCTCCCTCTGCAGTCTTCACTCCACTTGCTGGCCAGTGACTTCACAACTGCCTCCTGCTTTTAAGGTGGCTCTGGACGGGTGTATGTGGGGAGGGGGGGCTGCCTGGGCTGCTGGCGAACAGCTCCTTAAATAGCCGATTAGGTATGCAGGATGGCCCCGCTCGGATCTGGAGCTCCGCGGTTTCACCGGAGCCCTGGCCCAGGCTCAGGAGCCCAGCTGGGGTGAGCTCTTCCTTCCTCTGCTGGTCACACAGATGCTGCTCACACGGGTGTCCCCTGGAGCAGGTGAGGGCAAGGAAGGGGGGCTTTGGGGTCCATTCCTGTGCCCCTCCAGAGGACACTGTATTCACCCCCCTGTTTTCTCTGAGGAGCAGCTCCCTGAGGAGTAAGGTGGGGTGACCTGTTCCCGATCCCCTGCAGAATCTGAGCTGCCCTGGAATAGGAGGAGTCCAGAGTTCCAAGATATATAACAAGGAGTTGGGGACTCAGGGTGCAGGTGAGGGGTAGGAATTCAAGGACTAAAACATGCTTTGTGGAAAATAAGGAAGAGAAATGAGGCAAGGAGGACTTGTCTGGAGCGATCTCTTCTCTTGTGCCTGTCACCACCCCCTTCCCACGGTGAGGCCTGGGTCCACGTGCTATGTGGCCTGAAGGGGGGCGGTTTTGTTTGCTGCATAAAGCCCATTTGTGTGTCCAGCGGGGGAGGGGCTGCGGCAGCACCATGGAGAGACGGCGGCTCTAACTGCCAGACCCAGCCACCTCCCTCCCCAGGGAGCCCAGATCTAGGGCGGCTTTTGTCACTGAAGAGGACACTGACCCCTGGCAGAGAGGCCGGGGCAGGAAGAGAGATGGGGAGACTTTAGTAACAATCACTACCACCGGTAGAAAAAGGCGGACTCCGGAGAAAGAGAGGGGAGGGACTAGAGAGAGACCATGTGATCCAGACAGAAGAGGGGCCCAGGGTCTTCCCTCCCGCTTAACAAAGAGCCAATGTAGGACAAGTGGAACTGAGTGAAACCTGCCACCAAAGAGCTGGGCCAATGGAGCACGGAGGCTGCGCGTCTCAGGAATGTGGGCTGGTGTGTGCTCCCCCACGAGCCTAGAAATCCCGATTGGAATGTACATCCTAAATCCCTCATTAGAGAATGTGAAACCCACAGATAATTTCACGCCAGACATAAAACCTATTTCTCCTCCATTGCCCTTCACCAGAGTTACCAGCCAGGAGGATGCACCCATTTGAGCTCCCTTTGCCCTCCTTGCTCCTGCTGAGTAGCAATAAATAGCCAAACAAAGGGAGCAGAAGCTAAATAAGGGAGAAGGATAAAAGCCAAATGAACAGAATAATGCATGTGCTGGATCATCAGTTCCTGCAGAGACAGGCACTCACCATGGCTTTCTGTCCCCTGTGATTGATCTGCAAAGCAAAGCCATTTTGCAGATGTCATTTCCTTTTTTATTCTCTTATCACCCTCTGAATTATTTTTCCCCTACAGGAAAGTTTTGTATTTTGAGGTTCCTCCAAAGCCCCATCCGTGCCATCTAAGAAGAATAAAAGGCTTAAAGTATAAATTGGACTTCTGCGGAATCAGGATAGTTAACTCAAAGGAACAGAAAAAAAGAAAGAAGGCAGAGATATCTGGATATGAAAGAAGAGGTCTAGCAGGAAAGAAGACGTCTGGACAGAATGACCTGTGCCAGGACAGAGTTCCCCAGAGCGGCAGGGGCTGAGATTCAGACTCCCAAGGCAGGTAATCTCTTGCCCAGCGCCACCTCCTGGCTCATCTATGGATTTAAAAATTTTACTGAGACATGTTTTGTGTGCGATTCCTTCGGGGAAGTATTTCCCTGCCGGTGGGATTTGGGATTTTGCCTAAACAGTTGAATATTTTTTCACAAAGATAGCTTAGCCTCAGATCAACACTTCCCTGATCCTGGGACCCTCCAAGGCTTTGTGCTTCCCAAACGGATAAAGGCCCTGTTTTCTAAGAAAGAAGGAGAGAGGAAACAAGCACCGTCCTCCGGGGACTTGACTTTATTTTTTCTTTGGCTTTGCTGTGGTTATTTCTGTTGTTGCTTTCTAGCCATACTGATTTGGACTAGGTATCAAGAGGACCCTTTATATATAAGTTAAAATAAAAAAAGTGACAAAACCCTCACTCCTCCTTCTTTGTTTCTACTCAAACTCTGGCACCTTTGTTTCAGTTCTGACTTCTCCCTCTCAAGCTTTTTTCTCACTTTGAGGTTGGCTAAAATCTTAAAACCAAAACCAAGTATTCCACTGCCTTCTGGCGCCATCTCCTGTCCTTGTAAATGCACTGAAACTTGAATAAGTCAGAATCAAAAGTGTCCCAGTGTGGTGACTTTTTTGTTTTGTCTTTTCTTAAAAGGTCTTAACCTAGATATTTAAACTCGCTAGTCTAAAACACATTACAGGAACCCACTAAGCGCTCTGAGTTTGTGTGGAGGAGTAAATGAGAGTTCAACAAGGAAGGAAAGCAGATCAAAAGGAAACAAGCGTGGTCCCACAGGAACTTACTCGAGCTCCAGTACGGCAGATAACTAATTGCCAAGAAGAGAGGATCAGTGAGGAGACAGGATTAGATGGAATGAGATTTTCTAGAAGAGCAAGCCTTGTGCCATGAAGAAATGCAGACCCAGAAGTGTTCTAGTTCGGTAGGTAATTGCATTTATCACATGCTTGTCTTCTAACACATTGGTACTGAAGCCCCTTAAACAAACACAAAAGTGTTTAAGAAATAAATCAAGGCTGGGTGCGGTGGCTCATGCCTGTAATCCTAGCTCTCTGGGAGGCCGAGGCAGGCGGATTATTTGAGCTCAGGAGTTCGAAACCAGCCTGAGCAAGAGCGAGACCCCGTCTCTACTAAAAATACAAAGAAATTAATCGGACAACTAAAAAAAATATACAGAAAAAAAAAATTAGCCAGGCATGGTGGCGCGTGCCTGTAGTCCCAGCTACTCGGGAGGCTGAGGCAGAAGGATCGCTTGAGTCCAGGAGTCTGAGGTTGCTGTGAGCTAGGGTGACGCCACGGCACTCTAGTCCAGACAACACAGTGAGACTCTGTCTCAAAAAAAAAAAAAAAAAGAAATAAGTCAAAGTAATTTAGGGGAGGAGGGTGGTCAGGACTGTTTGAATCATTTCTCAGTTTTCCAGTTCACATTACACAACAGATACGGTATGAGAATCTTGTAAACAGGACAGGTAAAAGCTTGTGGTTTGAAATATTGTAACTCATTTATTTATAAAGGATAAATTACAATATTTTCGGTTTTTTTTTTTTTTCACTCTGTCACCCAGACTCGAGTGCAGTGGCCTGATCATAGCTCACTGTAACTTCGAATTCCTAGGCTCAAGTGATCGTCCTGCCTTAGCCTCCCAAAGTGCTGGGATCACAGGTGTGAGCCACATGGGGCCTTCAGTTGTAATTTTGTGTCATGCATTGCTTCTGTGAACAGAACGCTGCCTGGTACATAAATATGTGTTGATTAAATGAATGCATCTAGTCATTGGAACATTTATTTACTTTCTTCCTGTCTCTGTTATTTTATAGAATTTTAGAGCAGAGGGCCCTCAGACATCATTCCAAACCCCTACCCTGCAGAGACTGAGTTTTGAGAGATTTAAGGATTCAGCCATGATTGGTCATATATCTGCTAGACTAAACCAGAACAAAGACATCGACACCAGTGAACTTTCTCCTACACCATTGGTTCTCAAATGTCAATGTGCATCAGAATCACTGGGAAAGCTTATTAAAATACAGATTTTGGGCCTCACCCCCATAGTTCCTTTTTCTCTTTGTCTGGTGTGTGTCCAGGCCTACATCTGCATTCCTAACAGGTCCCCAGCTGATGGTGATGCTGGTGGTTGAGGATCCACACTTGAGAACCACTGCCTGTACCAACGGGAGAAGCAGAGATATTAATAATAAGGAGTTTGCCATTCTTTGTAGGAATTCCAGCCATCTGGAATCACTCTTTGCAGTCACCTTTTTCTTTGAGGTTACAACAATTCCTTTACTAGTTTACAAACATATATTAAGTTCTTCTGGGTGCTAGGTACCATGCCATGCCATAGAAATACAAAAATGAATAAGACATAATCTTTGCCCTCAAGAACTTCAGAGTTTCTTAGGGGATGCAGATACCTTACCCAATTACTAGCATACAGTGTTGAGAAGTTCTAAATAGTGGTCGAGCAAAGTGTTATGGGAACCAAGGTAGCAGGGGCAGGGGGAACAATTAGCAGTGAGATTTTCTTTACCTCTCAGCAATCTGTCCACAGGATGGGAACATAACTAGGGTGATTTAACCAGGTCCTGTAGATATATGTAAGAACATAACAAAGCAGGCGGATCCATGGCTCATTGTCTCCAAGAGTGACACCAAAAGATAGGTTATGTCAAAGCAGGCTTCTCATTAATTTTTACTAACCTACTTCCTCTGGAAGAAGGGAGGAAAAAGGATGTCACGGTGCCCTGGAATTGTAAGTATTTCTTCCATCTGCATTGGTGGTCACCTCATTCTGCCTGTCTTCTTCCCTTCCTTCTTATTCTCTACTATTCACCTAACTCAAATGAAGATTTTGTACCCAACCCAAACAAAAGATGTTAACGTTTCCACCATTTCCCCGCAACGGTGAGAAACTTTCTTTCTTTTTTTTTTTTTTGAGATGGAGTTTTACTCTG